AATAATCAAAGTTTACATAGGCACAAATCGTACAATATCTGGTGGATGAATATAAATTACAAACGAATCAATCAATAAGTCTATGTTTCATCATTGTACGCTTTTTGAGATTGGCATTTATTCCTTCTATCCAGTAATCCCCTCGAGACTGACTTCATATTTTTAAAATTACAAAATAATAGAATTGAAGAAACCAACTCATAAAGCGTCCAAAATTTGCATCTATTCTAATGGTTAGAATGCAAACATTCGGAAAATGTTATTATTGCTTAATGAAATGAATTCAAGTTTCTTTTCTTTCATTCGCTTTATATACATTTCGGTCTAATTTCATGCATTTTCAAACTTTTAAATACAGTTTGTCATTTGTCATTTGCATTTTTAGCTGGGCTTTTATGGCTGACTTTTATTCATATTTCTTGGATAACACAAAAAGTATTATAGCATTGAATTCCAGATTTCGACAGGTATATAGCAAATAGCTGACTAATTATTATATTACATTCCAGAATGAGTCATACAGCTGGTTCCATGCAGCTTATGCAAAGTTTACTGTAACTTAGTTTTTTTTCCATTCAGAAGAAGCCGTGAAAGATATTTAGAATGATCGAAAAATCCGGATAACTCCAGACTAAAACTTAATTTATCTATGAATTTAAAAGTTTTTTAAAGTATTTTTTGCTGGTTATAAATCATTTGATGCAAAATGCCCTCAAAACAAAAATGCCATTGTTTTTCAATTGACGTTACAGCTGTTTGTAGTAAAAAATCTATGTCAGAAGGGAGTGTAATCATAAATTACTTTAAAAAAAAAAAAACGCAAATACATTACTATGCATTACTAACATGTCATTTTGAAACTTCTAATATCTTACCTCTCTCTCTCTCCTTCACTCTCTCTTTTTCTTCAAGAACTTTTGGAAGAAACTATTCTGCTTTCTTGAAGTTTACATTTTTGGCCTCTCTTATCAAATTTCAATAAAGATTTGATAGAATTTGAAAAGTGGAAGAGAAGGAAGATGATGAGAATGAGTACATTTTTGTCAATAAATGTTTTATCTGTATATTAAAATTATTTACAAAAAAGGAGATTTTAAAATTTATTGTTACCTTTAGTGAAAGATTTGGCATTACTATCAAATGATTACTTATTACCTGTTTTACAAGTTATAGAATTCACTTTTAATGTTTTAAACCAATATTAGTTTTTTTAGGAAATGAAAAGAAGTTAGTTCGACTTAGTTCGAAATCACTTCGCTGCAATAATCTTTTTCCGATTAATTTTGAAATATTTAAAAAGCTAATATTGGTTCAAAATCATTTGATACTTTCGAACTTTTATAACTATTTTAAACTAAACTTTTGCCATTCTTGAAATTTTAAGAAAAATTTCTGCTTCCTTAACTTTCTGCTTTTAATAAAAATGAATTTCGAAAATGAAAGGATGAAGAAAAATTGATTAATTCATGCTCTATTGTTAAATGCTCCAAGTCACTCTGTGAAGTGCATAATAAGTTTACATATTTTGATCATCACTAGTTGATAATGCTTTATAGTTATAACCATTTTGTCCATTCATCCGACCGGTCATTCAGTCCGTTTAGGAATTACTGATTCGGAATCGTTTTTGTGAGAAACTTTAAAAATTTTTTTAGTGATTCTAAAGAATATACACATTGCGTTTTTGTATAATTTAAGTTCGACTTTCTTGAAAAATTTTCTGAGATTGCAAAATTTCGCGTGCGGTGGCCTAAAACATTTGCTAGGCCAAAAAGTGTGACTTTATCTCTTTCAGAATAATTCTATTTTCATCATTCTATTTCTCGATGATTGGTATACTATATGCCAATCATCGAGAGTCAGTGCAAAACTTGAGACATTTATCAAGACTGAATAAAAATTTTTATTGAAGTTAAATTTTTTATTTGTCTTTAAAATTTAATAATCAATCATTTGATAAGAAGTTTAGATGAAATAGCCAAAATGATTTTAGTTGAACTACTGATTCATGCAGCAATTTTATTTTGGAGAAACCTGAAGCAATAATTCAGAAAATTGATAGATTTTTAGCTTGGCTAATAATTTCATTTTTTAAGTGAAAACATTAGTATAACATTTATGGAATGAGTGAAAGTCATAATCTACTGAAAGGCGGTAGGATTTGAAAAGTTCAAACAAACAAATTCCAACTATCGAAGTTTTTTCAAACTGTCATCCCGCTTGGCTTTACTTACTCTATTACACTTACTTATCATATAACGTTAATCGGTATGTCCTTCATTTCTTTTTATCCGCAATATAATGTTCATTTCTCATTAATTTTTAATAGTTCTTTAGCATTTAAGTATCTCGAAAGGATGTTTTTATTTTTTCCAAAGAAAAAAATTTTCTTTTTATTTTATCAAAAACGAATTCTGAAAATAATTTTGGTCATTCAAGGAGGATTTGAGTTATCTCCTACGAATTTTTTCATTGTAATAGGATGAATATGGTTTAAAATTCATTTCGTCAGTATTTTTATTCATATAAACGATTAATAACTTTTTGGAAAAGTTTTAAATTCCATGAAAATTTATCGTGGCATTAATTTGAATTTGAGTATTTTTCTATTTTCAGTATCCTTTAGAAGTCTGAGATATTTTAGAATGTTTGCAAGTTTTTTTTGTTTTGCATCCGAATGTTGTTAGTATAATTATCTAGTTAACTTCATTCCTGGTAAAATGAAAGTTCAATAGCTAATTTTATTTTCAACAATCAAAACAACAATATTTTTCACAGTAATGAAGTGGCTAAAAGAAGGAACCACCTCAAATTTCAACATTTCAAATTTACTGAAGCATTTAACCAATTGTCACTGATTGGACCATTTCTTACTTCTAATTATTTCTGTAGCCATAAAACTTTGTTGTTTTATGGAAGTGAAAAGATTGGAAATATGTTATTTTTCTGATATTAAAATTTTAGCTTTCTTCCTGAGACAATAAATTTCAACAAAAAAAAAAAAAACTGCAATCGGAAATAAATTAGTAAGGAAAAAAATGATCTCTGTTTATGTAAATTTCTACGAAACTTGTTTCGTTCTACTTAAAAAAAAAAAACTTTTATATTTCGTTGCAATTTTATAATTAAAATTAAAAAAAAAAAAGTTTTTTCTCATTTAACTTGCATCCGTGACAATTATTCTTAATATAAATATTTAACAAGGAGAGATTTGATAATAAAATATAAGAGTTAAAATAAATAAGTGTTTCTGAAGTGGAAGAGCAAAATAGCAAATTAGTATCAACAATGAGATTTTTTTGTTTAAAATAAATACAGATTCATCAATTTTGATGGTTGTTTCTAAATATATTTCTAAAATATGGATGTAGTTTGAAAATAAGTTCCTTTCTCTGCTTTTATTGAACTACAGAACAATACGGAAATTTCATTGAAATTTGAAATATAAATTTATTTGTTCATCTTTTTTGACTGATAATGATAATAAACAATAATAATAATAATAATAATAATAATAATAATAATAATAATAATAATAATAATAATAATAATAATAGGGTATTAATAATACACCTATATAATATCTTAGAATATGAAGTATTGATTATACTTTATCATGCTATCAATAAAGTAATGATTTAGTCTTTTATTTGTAAATAAGAAAAATATAAAAGTTTCAATATCAAAAACATTTATTCTTTTTTCTTTCGATTTATTAATTGGATGAAAATGTTGCAGAAATGTATGATTTCTATCAACAACAACGTTCACCGTTAAGTGATAAAAAAGAATATAACAATTTTTCACAAGAAACGTTTTATTCACGGAAAAAGTTTGTTTGCCATTTTCATAAATTGGAAATTCCTTCTTAAGGTTTGATTTTATATTCAGTGCTATCAAACATAAAAATAATCGAAGTTAATTTTTAAATGCATTGATTGAATAATACTTAAAGGAAATTTTATTCAGTCCAAAGTGTTTACAGCTTCAAAATATTTATTGTTTCTTTAAGTACCACTTAAAAGCAGAAACAATGATGAAATGTCATTTAGATTTTACATTCACTAATTTAAATGCCTATGGAAACCATAAAAGAATGTGTAGAAGTAAACCGATAGTTCATTAAAAAAAAATTTTTACAGGTTTGATATAAATTTAAATCAATTATCTCATTCTAATCCTGTAATGTTTACTAAGCTGTTGTCTTTTAAAAAAAAATTAGTTCTTTTTTTTTTTTCTTTCATTTCACCATTCTTTGCCACATTTCATTCTCTTTTGATTAAAATTTTAAAAAATTTCTTTTCTTATTCTTATCAAGTTTGTAGTAATAAATAATTATATCAAATTTTGAGTAAAACATGAAAAATATTATTATCAAACATTGAAGTTAATGAAAAAAAAAAAAATTGTGCCAAAATATTAGGGAAAAAATGAAAGCGATGAAAAGATTCATTAATTCACAAACTGTCAATAAATCCGTTTGAATTCAAAAATGTCCGATTGATCTTCCAAAACATTACTATTACACCAACATATCTTTTTCATTCTAATTAAGATCCTTAAAATTGACTTTCGCTTAATGTAGTTGTAGCTTAATAATACTAATTTCTCTTATATTCATTTTTCTTTTCTTGTCCTAATATTCGCTTATCTTTTTTATTTTCAAACTATTTTCTTTTAATTTTTCTTCTATTATTATTTTATTAATTTTTTTTTTTTTTTTGAAACTTTAATATGCAATTCTATGATTTGCTTCTGTGAAAAATGTTATTAGATAGGTTTAATTTGAGCAAGAGGAAATTTGTAAGGATTTATAAGCAATGTTGTTTACGCTTAATATTTTCTTTCGATACGAAAAGGGAAAAATTTAGTTCAAAAATTTCACGTCGTCGGAATTATTCGATGTTTTTACTTTCTCTGTAATTCTGTTTATTTCTTTCAGTTTGTGTAAGAAATCACTACTCAGTCGTGTCCCAAGCATTACTTCATTCTGCAATGATATGACGGAATCAAAACACAATGGTTTGCCAATAACTCCAACATTTATGGATGACAAACAAGCTGGTAATTGTCAGGTGACAAATATGCATGATATGACGTTTACTTATAGTGGCGTTCATTCTTTTCTGTAGATGAATATTTCAAATAGTTATTCTAATCTTGAAAGATTAGAATAACATATTGAAAGGTAATGCTACATTCAATTTGACATCAATAAGATAGATTGATCCTCTAAATAGTCTGAAATTACAAGTTCAGGAAGATGATGAATGTTCCGTGAAACATTATGAATCCGGTTTTTGCGAAAAATCTCCTGATCTCTGCTGTGTTAGAGGAACATTAACATTTTCGCTTCGTTATGATTTCATTCATCGTGTATTAATGGTCCACGTCATTCGGGCTAATGGTATCCCTGCTGAAGTAAGATTTGAAGATTTCTTTTTGAAATCAATTTCATAAATTTCATAAATTTTTAAATTTTGGCCGTATATTATAGGATTAAATTATTATTGCCTTAACTCTTGTCCTGGATTCTTTCTTTCTTATTAATCACCATAAAAACTCAGAATTCGGAACCGTATGTAAAACTTTGTCTATTACCGGAAAGACGGAATCAATATAAAACTCGCATTTTCAAAAATTGCTCTGATCCAGAATGCAACGAAATGTTTTCATTTGATGTCAGTCATGCCAATTTATCAAGCAGAATGTTACAGGTAAGTTTTTTTTTAAAACTATTTAGCAGTAAGTAATTTCCTGCTTTCTACATGAATATCTAAAATCTATTCCATTTAAGTTAATTAAAGAATAGTTAATCCATCAATTAATATCACTGCTGTGAACTACACACATTCCTACTCAATTCATTAATTTCTCTTTGGTTTGTGATAGGAAAAAATGATTGATAAAATTTATAAAAATAAACTGTTGAAGTGAAAAGTGAAAATGATCAGTACTACCTTCAACTAATTATTATCGCAACTGATCATTCTGCAATCGATCTTGCAATAATCTATGATGACAAAATATGTGAGGAGTTTATGGATTTTTTACAGTTCACTGTGTACAATTTTGTTCGTTTTACGCGACATGGTCTCGTAGGTAACGTCATCTTACGTGATTTGTTCGAGAAATCAGAACTGAGCACGTGGACTGAACATACTATGCAAATTATCGGCACTCCGGTTTGTTTTCTGAGTCAAATGATTATTCAATCAGAATTTTTTGTTACTTTGACAATGACATTCTTTTTAGGGTAAAGATGATTTCGGTGACTTATTGGTTTATTTGTCATATTCCATAGCTGATCGAAAATTATATGTTACGGTCTCAAAAGCATATAATTTAAGACCAATGGATATTACCGGTGCTTCAGGCAAGCATTAATTTTTTTTAGCACTCGATAAAATTCTTAAAAAGAGCATAGTAATATGACTAGAGTAAGTTCAATCCATCCATATGTGATAGCGGTTTTTAGAAACTTGCAAATAACCGCACCATTCTTTTTAAAATGCTTTGGCTTTAATTTATGCTTTTTCTAATTTTTTATTTCAATTTAATTTGTTCACACAATTTAGAAAATGAAAAGAAATAATTCTATTTGACATTATGTCAACAAAATGTTACTAATAAAAAAGAATTTAAATTTATGATTTTCCTTTCAGATCCTTATGTTAAAATCGAACAAATTTATCAACGACGACGTGTGAAAGCACGTAAAACGTCAATCAAGCGAGCTAATTTAAATCCCGTATATCACGAGTGCCTCGAATTTGACCTTCCTTTGAATGAGATCGAAGGAACTAATTTATTAGTTCGCGTAATGGATTGGGATAGGTAAGAATTAGTTCAGAATATTGCTTAAATTATTGTTGTTTATCAAAGCCAACAGCATTTATTGATCTGTTTAACAATGAAAACAATTTTAATTTTAATTACTTGAATCTGCTGTTAACATTTGCATATTCATTTATTTAAAACTTTGTACTTTATAGGATTGGTCATGATGATTTGCTTGGTTGTTGTATCATTGGTAATAATAGTCCAATGCCAGAAGGCAGGAAACAATGGATGGATTGTTTCAAGGATTTAACTATTAATGCGATTTGTGACGACTCGGTTGGTATAAAGTTTAACTTTCTTTTTTCATTGGCAATTTAATTTAACTTTCAGCTTTTATAAACTAATACTCGTGAAATGATTAAGTTATTTTAGTCATTTTTGATCATCGCATTATTTTTATATATGAACAATTGAGATAAAAGATATACATCAGTTTTTGATGATGGAATGTTTGTATAGATAGAAACCTTACTAGAAGTATTCATTATGTTAAAAAGATTTCAGGATCGTCAACCGGTTGGTACCTGGTATAGTATTTTGGATGAAGTACCGGAAGAGTTTCGCAAAGTTCCAAAAGCGAAGAAATGAGATGTGAGAATTAATAAATGAAATCTTTGCACTAAGTAGGATAACCGGCCAAGAAAGAAAGGAGATAATGGAGGGAGAAGAATTGATTAAAGGAGATCGACCAGTTGTCACATAAAGATAATTACGAGCAGCTCATTGAAAGAAATCGTAAGATCGTTGTCGAATGTGTGAATGTCCAAGCTGTAGAGATAGATGATGCTGAAGTAATGAGAAGAAATGAAGGAATCTTTGAGATGTATTTTGATTATGAAAATAGTTCAAGACTTTACATATAATGAGAAAGGAGAAAAAAAAAAGAAGCTCAGAAAACTTTTTTTCACTTGAAATTTTGAATTATTTCTCGACACTTCTTCAGAAGATTAGCAAAGAAATTCTCTCATGGAACTCTCATACTTTATTGATCGCTACATCATTTCACTGAAGCTTTATAATGGTGTCTTATCTTCTATACTTTTTTTTGTGTCTTTTCTCAATTCAGATTTTATCGATTCATTAAGTTCTTTCGATTTGACAAAAAAAAAAGACACGAAAGGAGAAAGATTTTTTCTTCATTTATTCTTGAGAAAATTTTAATTTATGAATTTATATGACGGATTATAATTTTTTTTTTTCGAATTTTCCTTTTTACCTCTTAATTTGATTTTCTATTTGAGCTCCTCATTTGGAATTTTATGCAATAATAGTTTTTCTAGAAAAGCCACTCAAAAGCTAGTGACTTTTTAACGTTAGGTTTACAAGAAAAGTTTCTTCTGTGTAAATATTTGAGTTTTTCGGAAAGCCGAAAAGTGTTCATACGAATTTGTGTTCAATTCCTCTTCAAATTTGTGATGGAAATTAGAACTCAACGTTTTTTCGTTCCGGAATACGGGTTTATTTCCGTCTAATGATTGCTTTAAATTATTATTTTACTACAAATGAACGCTTACATAACATGAAACTAATTAAATTAGGCATCGCATAGCGATCTCTCAAAACTTATATACCCAACAAAAATCCATGCGAGATGAGCATTCACCTACTACGGTTATGTTTATCATTGTTTTTGCTAGTATTATTGACATTCTGATAAATAACTGATTGTATCGCATTACACTCTGAATCTAAACTTTCCAACAATATTAAAATTGATAGAATGGACTCTGTGAGACAACGGTTTTGTTTATGAGCACTAAATGACAGAGAACCTAGTAATCAATACTGACAAAAATATACCTTTGGTTACATTATTGGGGACAGAGACATAATGATGCTTACCAAAGGGCTTAGTTCGCACCGATATTTTGTGATGAAATGTTGAAAATTTTGAAGTGAGATTATGTAATCACTGCAAATGAATTGATGCTAACATGAAAAAAAAAATTTTTAAACGTTTTCCAAGGAAAAATTTGAAAGTGCAAAGCTTTCAAAGTACACATTCCAAAGTTTTTACTCTTTTTTATAAGCTACTGTTCTTTTATATCATCAACAATTTCCTCGTCGAATGCAATATTTTCAAAAGTTGAACTGTATTCTGACGCTGAATTCATCGAAGAATTCTGAAATGAGCAATTTCCAACGTTTTATGGCAAATTTTACAAAAAAATTTCTAGCTAAAATTCGAGATTTAAATAACCTGAACATCATCTCTGATAGTATTGGAAATAGATCCTTCATTACGCAGCAATTCAAGTTCATCTTCAGTTTTCGCACCCCTCCAATGAACTGCTTCATAGACTGAATTTTGTTTCGACAACCCTCGAAAACTAAAATTGTTTATTTAGCGTTTCTCGCAACTGAAGGCTTCTCAAATTCCAGTTGAATTAAAAAGATTATAATTAGTCCCACTTTAAAGGTAGGCAGTTAGTACAAGTGCTTACTTGGTAAAATCGAAATTTCGCCTAATTGTCAAGATGACTCCAATGACAATTGCACCAACGGCAAGCAGTAAAATGAGAGTCAGTATAAGATCATCTGAAGTGAAAATTCGAATGTCATTAACAATCTAATGTAGAAAATTTGAAATTATTCAAGTAGACTATTTTTTTAACGAGAAATTACAAACTTCCAAACCCGGAGAAAAAAAAAAGACTGATGAATTTAAAGAATACCTTTAACCAAAGTATGAAAATCCACCGAAACTATCTCTTCAATTTCGGTCACTGTCATTGAATGCAAAACTTCTATAAATTTTTTAACTGGTTCAATTTAGAAATCGATCGATAAAATTTGCATCTTTGCTGCAACCCTACTAAAATTTTTTACTACTTTTTTAAAATTTTGAGAAAAAAATTTTGAGGAAAATTAGTACTGCTGAAAACCACAAATAGATTAATCAGCGATATCAATATCACCAATATAGACAGATTAAAGATGAGTTTTGTGAGCCTCTTTGTCTAAATTAATTTACCTCAACATAACATAAAATTTTTGGCTTATCTAAATTTGATTTATATTTTATAACTTAGCAAGTATTACCATAATTATTCTGCACAAATCCGGCTAAATCTTTCAGTATGCTACGATAGATTTGTTCATCGAATGGATGTGTTGCGTTCTGTCGTGCAAGAACAACGACCTCAACAATAAATTGTACACAGAGACTAAAGTTAAAATTGAAAGTGCAGAAAACATGGCATTATTTAATTATTATTTTTTGCTTATTATTTATAAAATACTTGTTTCCTCTGCTGATATATCCCAGATCTACATGTTAGCCAAGTGCCCCATCCAAGTTTCTATCTTCGATGAAGTCCCAAATTATAAGGAAGAATTTCACTTGATTAAAAAGTGCCAACATTGCAACTTAGTCTATATTTGTCAAATTATTTACATACTATGTCAATTTCTGAACTTAAAAAAAATTTTAAATAAATTATTAAATCGTGCAAATGGACAATAATAGATGTAAAATATATGTAAATTAAATTGTAGTTTCTTCATAAGAGATAACAAAATGATTCGTAATAAACTTTGTTATATTTTTTTATCACAGCATTCTCATTTTTCATGCTACCTGATAATGTGGCAAAGAATCATTATGATCGATACGTAAGCTGGCAATATTCAATTCGTATTTATTCACGATTCTATTTTCCTTTTCATAATTTTCGACTTGTTTTTGAAATTTGTCAAAGTTGAATAATGTTGCGCGAAAACGAAGCATGGAACCTAAGAGTAAAAATAATGATACTAGTGCATATTTCTGGATTTCAAATCCCGTAGGAAATTCTTGCTAGGAAATGGTAGTAGTGGCAATGATTATATTAGCAGCAAATATCTAAATTTCAAATCCCTGAAGAGTTTCTTTGTAAAATATCTCACTTTATCTTCACGGAAAATTTCTGAAACTGAAAGCTATAGAAAGCATCAAAATTTGCATAGTATCGAATTTAAAAAAAAAAATTAAATTCTATGAAAGTACATGAGAATGCTTACTTTTTTTCACTGAGAAAATACCAAATCATAAGGGAAAAGAAAAAACTTTAATGAAAAAGTCTTCCAGTAATTTTTTTCGTTTTTTATGAGTAATAAGGAAGAAAAAAAGAACAAGAAACAATTATTATTGACATTGCTAAACTAATTACTTACTTCTTGGGTCGATGTTTTGGCCTATTAAAAGTACGGTCTTTAATAAATGAAGCAATATCTATTACCCATTTTCTCTCCTTCCTCTATTTATTATTTTAGATCCAATTTTCAAACTTACCACATATTTCGCAGCAATGGCCAATTGGTTGAAGCATTCGACTGCATTTTGGAGCTGTTTTTGATTGACACTGTTGATAGGAACATATCAAAGCCAATTTCTGCAAGTTGGCTAAGTAACTTATGAACACTTTCCAAGGCGGATCTCAGTTAAAAATTATCATATTTTTTTTTTTTTTCATTCCGTAATTTGTACAACAGATTCCATAGAGCTGGGATTACGCAGTAAAATGGTTACAGGTCAAGCAATCAACAGGTCAATGATTGTCCATTGATACTGCAACTTTGAGTTTGGAAAGAAAGAAAGTAACATTTTACTCGAATCGAATTCCTAAATTATCACAAAATGAAGCAAATCATTGATTTTGGCATGCACTCATGAAATTTTCAAAAACAATGCCTCATCAATTGCAGGCTTTAAACATCAAAAAATGGAATTGCGTTTTCTCCTTTATCCGTCGTATTTTTTAACTGATCGCTCCCAAGCAGCAAATCATCTCCTACAGAAAAACGTTTCCACAAACACCGATTCGGAAAAACTTTAAAGCAGTTCATCGAATTTTGAAGCACAGATTTCCCTGTTAACATGTCAGCTTGCTTTTTTCTAGCTAATTATTGCAATCTATACATTAATGTTTATAAAATTCAAAAATTCTAAACCTTTCAAAAAATTTACGAAGAATTAAACTTTAGAATCTAAAATAGTAATTCTGCACAAATTGATTACTTCGGCTTCCAAATTGCTATTAAATTGACCAGCACTGTGTTTCGCTTCTGCTTCACCCATAATTGTTACAGTATTCCTGAATTTAGGCCATTGATAATTGATGCCATTAATGCTTCGCTCAGATTTAAGCTTCGGTGCCAAATCAAATTGATATTGACCTTCGATAGATGGCAAAAAGGAATCATTGAAGGTCTCATTGCTCATATTCTACAATCAGTGCATTCAAATTATCATCGCATAAGCAGGAAATTTTATCATTTTATCATTTTGGTCACTATTAATCAAATTAAACCTTAGAAAAACACGTGCAAGTTTAGTTTATGATGAGTGGTCACTGAATAGATGATTTATCCTTTAGTGAAATTCTCTCACTAGATAATATATATCATAATATCTAAAAAATGTGGTAATAACTGGAAAATTTTTAATTTTATTCCAGAAAAGAAGATGTATCTAGGTGGTAATCATTTCAAAGTGCCTTGTGTCAAAATCTCAGTTTAAAATTTAATTTTGATAAATCGTATTTCTGACTATTTGACATCCACCATTATCACTTCATTTTCAATATTTACTTCATTGCTGCTGGAATTGAATATTTTCGTTTTCAAAATAACAAAAATATTGCTCATTTATTGCCTATTGAAAAAAATAAAAAATATTCAGTGTGCGTGATTTCAAACTCTTTTAAATAAACATATTTACTACACTAACACTCATTTTCCTTATTTTTTATAGTGTAAGGATCTGCCGAAAATTTTCTTAGAAAAGAGAAAAAACAAATCTAATATTATCGAGTTTATTAATAATTTTTTCCAAAATTTTCTTCAAAATTTCCAAAAATTTATCAAAAATTAACAGCTGATATCAACATGCATGCCCTTTTTCAAACAGCAATAAATCAAATGTACGGGAGCAGTGTTTTAAATTTCGAGGTGAAGGATTTTTTAAAAACAAACAGATCAGTGTTTTAATGGTTTGTCATTTTAAACTGGAAAGATTTATTGATTATCTTGATAAATATAATCAAATTTTCTGGAAGTGAAGTTATAGGTACTTTTATGGCATGGTCGAGAGTGAGATAGAATGAGTAGAGTTATAAGACTTGAAGAGAATGTTATTTCTTTCAAACAAAAGCTATTTTCTGTTTTGGATATTTTTAACTTTTGTTGAAATTATCTGCAAGTTTTATCTGCAGACTATTGAATTCTTTCATTTTTCATTAACTGTTTCAAAGTTTTCTGGCTATTCAAAATTGAAATGACCGAAAAAAAGTTTAAGACTTTGATATAGATAAGAAGTAAAGAGTTATCAATAGTTGACATATCATTATATTTCGACCTCATGATATTTTTGAAACTGAGATTTATTGTCTTAAATTGCTAAGATTGCTAAGACACTAATATTGCTATAACACAGAATTTAATAAAAGCAAGTGAAATGTTAGGATGTATCCTGAAATTAACTTTTTCCAAAAGATCAAGTACTACTATCTATGAATTATGAGTTGAATTGGTTATAAAAAGTAAAAACAAGAGAAGTAGACAAAAGAAGTTTCAAAAATTTTAAAAAGATAATTCATGCTGTTGAATATAGCTAAAGAAACGAAATCAAAAACTTTCAAACAAAAGTCAAAAAAATTTTTTTTAAGAATATTTAATAGAATTGTTTAGCACTGTTTAGTAAAGAGTTTTCAAGTTGAACTTTATCCCTTCTATGTTATTCATTCATTACTGATAAAACAAAACGAGATTATTACTTCTAAGGCAATTTATAGCGTCATAATTTGAAAATCTGAAACATTAATTAAAATTTAATATGTTGCCATGCTAAAAAGACACAGCAAAACTTGAAAAACAAGTAATTGAAACTTGCCTGACCAGCCAGTATTAATGCACCAACTGTAACAAAATCTTCTAACAATATTCGTGTACCACTCTCGGATGGAATTATCGCAGTATCCTAAAGAAGCAAAGTACAGCAGTGAATAAAAAGATAATTAGAGTTCAATTCCCTTATAAAGGCAGCATTTCATATTCTTCCAAAATTTAAACGAATTTTTATATGGGACTTCAGGAGGCAATGTGCTCTAACAATGATTTATGTCACCTGAGATGATGGTATCTGAAGGACATGCAATGCCGGTCGCCACTGAATTCCGTTTCTAGACACTATCCAGTTTGATCCGTTATAGAAACTCAGGGGTAAACTTTGTTTGAAATATACGTCTGCAATTGCATCTACTTTCACCTTATTAAGTATGAAAAATGAAAGTGTGTGAACTTTAGTTTTATCTATTTCCGAAAAAATTCATAGTTCTCCTCGTGAAAGAATCAATACGAAGGTTGGTTTTTATTTTAACAATATTCATTCTTCAAATTATTTAATAAAAAGAATCAAATTGTTTAATAAAAATCAGACTTTATGCTTTTTTTCACTTTAGTTAGAAAAAAAAAATATTCCAGAAAAATTTTCAATGGTTTTGATTCTTCGAAATTTTAATTTTACCGAAAAAGAAAATTTTCAAAAAAAAAAAAAAATCAGGAACTTTGAGCAAATTTCGTGCGAAAGTTAAGTCTGTCATTTAATTAAAATCGAATTTTTCTACTCCATTTGATATTGCAGGAAATTTCACCTTTTGCATTTTGTCTTTCCTTACACTGCCAATTGCCGAGCTTTCCCAGTTCAGCCCCATTACCGAAAAATAAAATCCCATTAGTTGGAAGATCAATTTTTTGCGAGTGTAGGCCAGTGGCAATTGACGCTACAGTAATTTCTCTTTCATCGAAATGAATTTGGTCATTTTCACATGGGCTAATATTGTTTTGCCAATATTCTGCTTTTTCTAGAATATTTGCCCTGTGGAAAATATAATTTAAACATTGAATATTTAGTGATGGAAGAAATAATAATAATAGTATCACTGTATGAATATTTTGAAGCATTTCTAGCATCTGCAATTAATTAATCTTTATAGCGAAAGATTAAAAAGATTCTAATTACTTGCCTACACAGTATCATTCAGACAGAGTTGGTACTCGACAGATTAATCAAACAAAATTACATTGGTTTATAAAGCATTCTTTGAAGATGTCAAAAGTACATACTCCTATCAATGATAATGATAATTTTTGAATATATTGATGATTTTGATTAATGCGCTAGAAATTTCGGCATGTTTTATTTTACATAAGGAAAAAAGTCATTGGCATCATCAAAGATTGATTGCACAAAATTTGTGATAAGTGAGAAAAATTTTCCAAAAATAAATGGAATAATTAAATTTCTAAAAAGTCTTACCAAAGTTATTAGTACTAATTATTTAGCTATTCAGGACAATTACTCTTGCATTAATTATTCAGCTATACATCATTATCAAATGGTGTTGCAGCACTCTGGAAAAGTTGCGCTCATAGATTATTCATTCAACAAATGCTTCATACTTTTATACAGTTTCAAATACGAAATATATGAATTATTATTACAATTGAAAAGCATCACTAACTGTTTAAGTAAGAATTAAAGAATGTCAGAGGTAATATTGTTAGGTAATCATACAATATGTCTGTAATCAATGCATGTGAATATCCTACAACCACTGGTTTTTTTTTTTTTTCAACTGGTATGAAAAACAAAAATATCAGTGATGTTCTCAAGGAATTTCTGTCGAATGAACTTATCAGTATTTACATAATATTTTGCAACGAACCGTTATGATCACAAAATGATCGTTAGTGGATAAAATTCAACTAAAAATAGGGAGAAGAAAGTAAAAGATCACATCAACTGCAATCAGACAAATAAATAAAGTTCACGAATCTTGAAATTAAACTGAAGACTTATCATTTATAAAATAGGTGCAAGATAAAATGGAACAGAACCAATGACATAAACTATAATGCCATAGTACTAAAAATTATTGATTTTCTCGGTCTGTTCGACTATGAAATACTTGCATAGATGAAATAAAAGTAAGTTATAAAGTTATCCTCTTAGCGCACCTATGAGAATAACAAAAGATTTCGATAAAAGATTTTGATAAAATTTCGAAAAGTTACGATTCTTCCAAGTAATTAACAACGACTTATCGAGATTGTATATATCATAAACGAAAGCAATCATAGGATATCAATAATTATCATTAATTAATCATCATTAAATGGCATCAACACATGCCATTGTGCAACAGAACGACGTGGTGTCGCGAGGACATCCTGCCACTGCTTCAGCGCTACACCGTTTGCATTATTGCCAATGATAACGTGACCGATACGTTCATTCGAGCCAACTCGATCGTAATCCGAAACTGTCACTTGCAAATGCACCCGCTGAAACGGATTGTTTATATTAAACTGACTGAAATTTATTATCAGCTGATTAAAAATTTAGAATGAAAGCAACGCGTAGAAATGATTTTTGTACTGACATTTTCAAATTTGATTTTATTTCAATCTTACTTTAACATTCTTTTTTGATATATTTAAGAAGTAGTATGTAGAATAAGAGAAATCATTTTGTAATAATACAGATGGCTTTGAACTTTTCGATATTAAATTCGCTACAAATAAATAATGATAATGCGATATTTGTTCAAGTGAAAGAAGTATGGAACTATTTCTGTTTAGTAATTATATGAAAATAACAGAGCTTTAACGTAGTATTTTCAATGATTCTTATCACATATTTATTTTGAATTCTCAAAAATTTAAATGTCTGAAAAAAACTTAATAAGTCCTTGAACTTTATTCACCTCACCTGCATTTTCTCTGGGCTGACATCAAAACTGAATGACTCATTATAATATGGATTTAATGTTTTCATCTTAATTGTTGTTTTCTTTTTTTCTAATCGTTTCTTTTGCATCATCAAATAAATTTTAACGTATGGATCTGTAAAGCAAAGCAAAATATTCTATGTACCATCAAAACTAACTGAATAATTGTATATGAATTTAAGTTTGAATGATTTAATTTATTATTACGAAACAAATTATTTGAAAAATTGCGAAGTGCTAAACAATCTGATTTATGTCATCAATTAGATTTAAATGGGAAAGTTGATAATATCGCCGTTTATGCAGGAAAGCAAAGATACTGTGACACTCGTACGACATCATATAAATTTAATAAGTGCTGTAAATGTTATTGCGAATTTGAAAAATGTACTAACCTGATAGACCAAGAACGTCCATCTTTTTCAAATTTTTGCATTCCATTACAACAACCGTTAATTTATTTTTATTCGGAACATAACGAAGTGCTAAGCATACTTCACCTAACCTATTTTCCTGAAATTATTCAATAAATCTTACATTTTCGTATCTTATTTGCCCTTCGGTTGAGTTGTCAAAAGTTATTACTTTAAATTTTAATTTGTTATGAATCACATTTTCCATTCATACCAGAATGATTATTAGTAGGTTGACCTGTACTGAAGAAGCAGAATTCAGTAATTCCTATCTGCAGTCGATTTTCAGTAACTACCATGTAGCAAATTAAAATATATTTATAATCTGAACAACACAAAAATATCCTCCAATTTTTTCAAGCTATTAATTCCATAACGATTCTCATACAGAAAAATGAAAAAATACCGGGGGAATTTGGATCAAGTCACACCTCTCAATGGTAGTTGCTAGATCTACCTTTCCAAGAGGTATTGATATTTCGCCTATCTGAAATTACTGTGGGTGTATATTGCTAGATTCCCATATTTCTTTTTCTGACTTCTGACCCTATCAAAATCTTAAAATTTACAAGTTTTTTGGAATACAATTGTAAAAGCATACACTCACAGCTTAAATAATAAAAAGTAGCTTTACTAATCGATAAAGGATGAAGGAATTTGATTGACAACAGATTCTTTACAAATAGGCTTGATTGACAGAGATGCAGTAAGATTGGACTTACTCCAGAAAGTTCATAAATTAATGTTTATTCCAAAATTCTGAAACGAATATCAAAGATCGTGATAAACAAAGTTTACCTGACCATGTTTACCGAATCTATCAAAATCAAAAACGCTCATAATCAGCGTTTGACTGCTGATTTCGTTGTATGGTATCTGAAGATTATATAAATTAAAAAGGAATGAGATGTTTGACTACTTCAAAAAGCTTATTTAAAAGCATAGGCATAATCCTTATGGTAGTTGTAGATAATGTAAACATGAAAAAGAATTTAGGGATAGTTTCATAAACGGAAATGAAAAAAAGGTTGCTAAATGCTTATTTCTACCAGTGCACTAATTTATATATTTTTTTGATATGTAATGGCTATATATATGTCGAGCAAAATGCTATTCAAAATAAACTTGTCGTAATGAAGGTGACCAAAAGTTAAGGACCTTTGCTAAGGACTTATTTTTCCCTTACTGATTTGTATAAATGAATTGCAGAAAGTTAATCGTTATTTCTCCACCCCATATTTCCATTTTAGTGCTGTTTTTTGCTCTTTCTTTCGCATCCAAATTTTTACTTCTTCGATATATTTGATAAGTAAACGAAAAATTTATTGAATTAACAGTCAAATACATCCAAAAATTTCCATTTTTAGAACAACCTAGGTTTCTTAAGTTGGTGTTGGTCTAAGTTTTAGAAAGTGAATTTAGATGTAAGCACTATATTTGACATATTTAAATTAATTGGAGCAAAAATTATGATTATATTAATGAAAGATAAATTTATTTCTTTCAGAAATTCTTGCATCAGAATTTGACGAATGACATGGAAAGTAATCCCTGTATTCTTGGTGAATGGTTATAGATAAAAAAAGCTGTCGAGATACATGTAAATGTAATAAATTATTGCTATATAATTCAATTCATTCAAAATTTAAAGCGTTCCTTGCAAGCGCAAGAGTTATTGTAAGGATAAATTGCTTTCTTCTAGTTGATTAATGCCAATTAAATAACGGTTGTTGAATTCTCAGATAGGACAGTTTTAACGGGATCAAAGATTGGAAGGCAAATATTCTGAAACGGTTTCAGAATATTTCAATTCAGCTTTAGCAAGCATTCTATCGCCTCTTTTCCGCCCACAACTAAGTTGGCTCTGCTTTTACCGTATCTCATTTTTGCTCTGAACATAATCCGTTCGATTCAAAATGGTGATTTTACATTTCTAAAATACTGGATGTTTGTAGAACAAGTGGACCTTTTTCTCCTTCTTCAATTTTCTTGACTGGTCAGTGCCAATTCCAGCTCCTAAACGGCTACCGTTCCTAATCTTTAGAAGTGATCTTGCATCTTTGTATAATTTCTCGAATTCCCAGATATGGCAGTTTTAACGGGATCAAATGATTGGAAGGCAAATATTCTAAAAGGGTTTCAGAATACTTGTCTTTTGTCTAATAACCTCCCATACTTCAAAATAAAGGAAAAAAATAGTTAAGTAATTAGCAAAAAGATGACGAATAAATATTAAAATAATATTTACATTTATATTAAAAAGTAAAAAAAAAATCTGGTACAGATATTTCTTTACAACGATTTTGTTATCAGTCAGTTAATACTTATTTTTATAGTTATTTGGATAGGAAATACAAGAAAAACAATATTCTTCTTGGATTAAATTGAATAAATTCACCTTGAACACAAAATTTTCATTGAAAACAGGATTAAGTGACTTCTTCTGCACCCTGGTTTGATATTTCTTTTTTTTGTCCGGTAAGAGGAATAATTTGACGTATGGATCGGAGGTACCGCCAAGATCCATCGCTGGCAATCCATCTGCTTGGATTACAGTTACCGTTAGCTATAAATTTCATGTTCAAATAAAAATCTGAAATTATTAGTCCTTTTGATTTATTGCTTACAAATTCTCTATTATTAATCAAATTTAATTGCTTTAAGAAACGACACGTGTTATATGAAATACAATTAAAAATATTAAAAAAGGAAGTGTTTTTTAATTCAGATCATTTTAACAAAGAAATCACTAAGAGAT